CACAGGAGGGACACTCTGCATCTGACCTGATGCAGCCGAGAAGACATGGGATGCAGGCACCTGCCAGAGACAGGCTCGGGCAGGTAGGATGATTCAGTCACCTTACTTCTGCTGTTTCGGATGTAGTTTAACTCATTCAGGAGTTCAGGCCACATAATCCTAACTACTGTATTAAGAAGGTGGACAGTTAATACAACTGTGTATTTAGGAATGGGGCCCTCAGGGGTAATTGGGTTACACAGAGTCATCAGGGTAGAACCTATGAGTGGATCCTGGTGGGTTCATAAAAGAGGAAATATTAAGGTTTGGATGTGAAATTGTGCAAAATTTCCCCCAGAAGCTCACTTGGTTTCCAGCTGCTGGTGCTTTGGGGAAAAGAAACAGCGGCACCTAAGGAGATAGCCTCGCTGGAGCGAGTCACTGGGGGTGGGCTCTCAGATGTATAGCCTGGTCCCACTTCCTGTCTGCACTCTGCTTCCTGAGTATGCTTACAATGTGACCAGCTCCTGTCACTGTTCCTCCCCTCCTGAGGTGTTCACGTCAGCCTCGGAACACTCACTACCTACTAGCCTGCCTCACTCTTTAGGCATGTGGTGGTTATGTATCGGGGAGGTGTGTGGGAGAGCGTGCCCATGTGCGCACATGTGTGAGTGTGCACTCGTGTGCGTTTCCTTATTTATACCACGAAGCCTAGGTTTTGGTGGTTGAGGTATTTCCCTAGGTCGCCACACCGATCCCTGCACAGGACCCAGCTCACAGTGACTCCGCAGGAGCATCAGCTCACTGAGCCTAAGTTTGGTCACTAGGTGCACACTTAGTGCTGGCGTGAAGCCACAAGCAGTGAAGCCTCCTGTGGTACTTAAAGATGGGGAGGATAGGGCAGCCAAGCTGGGTGCAGGAAACGATCTGGGGAGAAGCTTATGCTAGAACAGTGACAAACAAAGTAGATGGCAGAGAGGCATACAGTCCAGCACAGAAAAGCAGGTAACAGAGGGGGGAGGCGGCGAGAAGGCCCACCAAGGGCACCAAGTGCAGTGACATCACACAACCATCGGCAACAGAAGCCTGCCTCTGTCAGCATGGGCAGCTGCGTGACCAGCATCATCCACAGCACAGCAGCGAATGACAGACCACGTCTCAAACAAGGTGGAAGGTGAGGACCGAGGTTTGCATACACACATGCACTCACGCACCAAGCCTCACCTAGGATCCATATTCAGAATCCACATCCTCAGGCTCCGCCTTCACTACTAGAGTCCCCCAGGGAAGGGCCTGAGATGCGACAGCCCAGTGGTATGTATGTCAGGGTGTCTGAAGGACCCTCGGGTCCCTCCTCACTTGGGAGGTACATCAGTATGTGTCAACGCAGTAGCCACAGAAACCCAAGAAGCCCCGCTAGAGGAAGTTCCCGGAGCTGGGAAGCCACAGGGGGGCATGGAGCCAAGAGTCAGGCTCAAGTCAATCCCACAGCCCTTCCCACCACAGCCGAGCCTTGACAAAAATAAATCTGCCTCTTAGCGATGGAATTTAGCTAAAACTGCCCCCGTATTCACATCAGCCAGGCGGTTTGGAGGCCTGGTGGAGCCTCTGAATTCTAGCCTTTGGTTTCAAGGCAGCACTCAGGTTGAGACTAACATCTAAACGTCACCATTTAAATGTCGGAGGAGGTTAAGAATATTCGGGAGAGTCACTGAGTTCCTGGGCCATAGCCTGCATCCTGCCTTTCTCACTGGGGCCCAGGTGCTTCAGGGAAGAGGAAGTACTTAGTTAAGAAAGCAATGGCTCATCAGGGAGAGTAACAAAAGTGGCTGCCAAGGCCCAAGAGCCACTGGAGCCTTTGCTGGTGTATCTGTTAATCTGCAGATTTCCTCTCTTAGGGGAAGAAAGTCACAGAGATTTTCTATACACATTCCCATTAGTCTTTTTTTTTTTTTCCTAAACTCACTATCAAATTAAAATGTTGGGTATTTCTAATGGAATGTGGTGTGGGTTTTACGTTATGAATAAGGCTCTCCAAAGCAGATGTTCAAAGCTATTGCACAGAGATGTCATTTGGTGCAGCTTCTCCTCTGATTCTGGGACTAAGGGTTTATATGAATACTGAGCCCCGGGTTCGCTGAATCTGTGTCTTCAGAGGGATGTTACCCTTGGCTAGATGATGGATGGCTGCTTCTTAAGTGTCTTCCTCAGCTTGCTCTTACAAACTGACTGGTTTAGAAAAGGGGGAAGGAAGACCCCCTCCCCCAACCTCATCATATCAGCTGCAGCCCAAGCTCCTTCAATTCAGTGGATATGCTAGTGCCTAGATGGTAAAGGATTGGTCCCTCCCTGGCCTGACTGAGCCTCTCTGGGAAAAGGAACCTCTGGTATTCTGCTTAACAAAGTTAGTGGACTTGAGAGACTGGTGGGGTTTCTTGGCCACAGAAAAGAGATCCAGAGTGCCTTCAGCTCTGGAAGGTGAAGACCCCTGTTACAGGCAATTCTGACTTAGTCCCTTGGGGCAGCGGTGCTGCTGCTAGCCAGCTGTGGTGTGGTAGCTGCTGTCAGCCACTGTGAGGCTTCAGTGAACCGACCATGGTTGCCTCTCGTCATGGCGGGGACAGGGCCCTCTGAAGGCACTCCCTGCTCAGACACTCCCACTCTAGCAGCGGGGAGCGACATGAGAACCCATCTTCTAGATTGTCTCCTAGTAGGGCTAGCTCTGAACGCTTCTGTTCCTCATCAAACGGCCATTGGTAGACAGGTGCCCAGGGCTTCAGAGCCGAAGGGCCGTCGTGGACCAGGGGCCAGCCTCATCATTCAGATCTGGCCACTGTCAGCACCCACCCACACACACACTCAGTGCCACACATCTGCTCCCCTCCTGTCTGCCCCCACACATCTGCACAGAGTTTCTCAGGCGACAACACCTCCCACTCCAGATACTCCTTGGCTCATGCTGCCCTCTGGGTATCTGGTACACTTCTTTCAGAAACCCAGGCCAGAACTAGGGGTAAAGAGGACCCCAAGCCTCAACGCAGCCTCCTGCTACTTGGAGAAGCTTAGGACCTGCACTTGCCAGGGCAAACCCCAACATTTTATCATTTCCTACTAACCTATGTGTTCCACAGGACCTACTAATTATGGCACACACACCTGTAATTATGATAATGCTGCTTCCCGCCATACACGAGGTAGAAACTCTTAATTATAACTCAAACAATTAATCAACCAGCTCACATTTTCTAAGCATCTGGCCCACGCAGGGCTCAGCTAGGCACCGGCAAAGGAAAATCACACAGCTACATTCTGTGTCAATTAGAAACTCTTTTCTCTTCCCTTGCCTCCACAAACACCCAACTTTTTTTTTTTTTTAATTATGGCAACCTCAAGGTGGGAGGGGACTCAAAATGGAATATATAAACTGGCCTTGGAAAGCAGTCATCAGCCTCCCCAGAAGAGACCCAGAAACAGCAGCCTTCTCTGGATGGCACCGCAAGCTCCTGTGTCTGTGTTCAGTTCAAGAGCCTGCAGGGGACCTTCCAGGCGAGCGGGCCTCGCTGCCGCATGTGCCACAACACCCTCGGGATTCACAGTCTAAGAGAACACAGCAATCCCAATGACAACCTACTCAAGGCAGCCAGAGGCCAGTCAAAGTCCTACGCAGCCAAAGAGGGAAGGAAGGACTGGGTAGCCAGCTACAGAGGAGAGCCATTGCCTTGGGGCTGGTGGATGCCTCCCGACACTGGAAGAAATGAAAACCACTGCTGAAGGCAGTTCCTGCCCGGGTGGGTTTAACTGACCCCAGTGGCCACGGTGTGATCCACTACTTAATCACTCCCGAAATTCCAGACTGGACCAAAATCCATTATTCACGGCACTTCATTGCTCTAAATGCTAGCCTGGCCTTTTTAAGCCAAGGGCAAAGAAGGGGACAAAAGAGGCCAGAGACTTTAAGGTGGGGGAAGGGGTACTTCAGAGACCTCCAGAGGCCAAGAACAAGAATGAATCTGAGTTCCTAATCTCGGGGTCCAAGAGCAGGAGAATTTGGACTTGACCAAACGGGTCCCCGAGTACATCCGTGATTCCAGTGCTTCCTTGAGGGGCAGTGCGTCAAGAGTCAGAACTCTTGGAATCAAGGGGCTTCCAAACTCTGAGACCATTCGATGGCAAACACGCGTGCGGTGCCCTGAGAGTCGCGAGGCTGGACAATCGTCCAGGGCGCAGAGGAGCCAGCTCACCTTCCTCGCGCCAGCCTAGGCTCGCATCCCCTCAGCGCCCAGCACTCCTCACTCCTGGCCCCACCGTCCTGACCAGCGGTTGCTGTCCGAGCTCCGGACGACAGTTTGCAGAATTCGGATCGTTTTTTGAGCCGGGACCCGCACCTGAGTCAAGCCGGCGCTCTGGTAGGCTAGAGAAGGCAAGGTGGCAGGACAGCCGCGCGTGCAAAGCGCGTGTGCGCGCAGCTGCGCGTGTTAAAGGTGGTGGGGTGGGGGGCGTTCACTTCACCACCTCGGACCAGAGAGGGGAACCGGAGCCGCGGACTCTCCTCGGAAGCTGGTGCGCACAGCCTTCAAGCTCGGCTGGGTCCGGGAAAGCCCTGGCAGCTTCGCGGGGACCCTGGGCCCCCCGGCCGGAGGCGGACCCCCTTTCCCTCCTCTCTCCTTACCCCGGCTCCGGCAGAGCCGACGCGGGCAGACGGAGAGCAGCGAGACCCAGCCTCCAGCGGCCGCCGGGACCTCCGTGAAAGCGCTCCACGCGGCCGAGCCCGAGCCTCCAGCTCCCAGCGTAGCTTGCCCCGGCCCTGCCCGACCCCCCGAGAGCCCCTCCAAGCGCCGCGGCCCCGGCTGCACGGCCCGCCACCCAAGCCGAGCTGCGTTCCCGCCGGTGGCCGCCGGCGGACAGGTGTCCACGCTCCCCTCCCCTCGGACCCCGGCCTCGCGCACAGACCTCCTTCGCAGCTACGCCCCTGTCCCCGAACGGTCCCGGGGACGCTTGGAGCAGACTCCGGGCAACTTTACCTCCTGCCCGGGCTCCGGGCGGCTTGCTCCGCGTGCCTGGCCGTGGCTCATCGGGGCGGAGCGCGGCGTCCCCAGAGCCCGCGGCGCACAGTCCGGCACCGCCCCGTGAGCCGCCCCCGGGCCGCCCCGGCCAGCGCATCCCGACGGCGGTAGCGCGGCGCCCCCTCGTGCCCAGCGGGGCCCAGGGCGAGGCCCCCCGCGGAGGCTTGGGGAGCTCCAGGCTGGCCTCTGTGGACACTGCGGAACCACGGCGGGCGGGACAAAGGTATGCGCTCCCGCACCCAGGCATTCAAACGCATGTGCTTCTCCATCGCATTCAACCGCACTAGGAAAAGCACACATAGCTGCCCAGGCACACACATATGGACTCACATGCTCACCATTACTCACACTTACCACCCATACACGCGTGAGGGCACTCATACAACCACACAGGCACACACACATGGTTTAGGCAAAGCGTTTTCACACACACATGCGCGAGCTAAGGGTGCACACACAACCAACACACAAGCAGACAAACTGGGGCATAAGCACTTGCTCACACACAGGGTGCTCTCAGCACACACACGGAGACACAATCAGACACACTGGCATGCACACACTCATTCTTGCACACACCCACACGGGGCCTCACAGCAAGTAAGAAACTCACTTGGTGAATTCATACCATTGGAGATTCATGGACTGACTCCTCCAGAGCCATGCCCCAAGACAAGGAAACAAACTCTTCCAAACAAACTCCAGACACAGGGGAAGGACAGGATGGAGGTTTCCACCCTGTGGACATGGTCCAAATGTGGTGTCTGCAGACATAAGCCAAGCAGGAGGTGTGTGCTTCATGCTATGACAGGAGCCTTTAAGGATCTGGTGGCAGGAGGCCTCTTGTGGCCACTGTGTCACTGTTTGCATGGAGATGGAAATGTTCTTTTCTGGATTCTGTCCTGCCTGGAAGAGAGGCGTCTTCTCCTTGGAAACCGTTCATTGGATTCAGAGCCCAAGAACCCAGGCAATACTATCCCCGGAAGGCCACCATGTTCCTTCCACAGGAAATGAGTGCTTCTGGGGCCTGTGCCCTTTGAGGCAGTTCCATTTGTCAACACAATCTGTCTGTGGGGGCAGGTGCTCCTGGCCAGCCCTCCGGGTAGTCTGCGGTGGCAACGCAGGCAGAGCAAGCTGGGAATGCCTCTGATGCAAAGATAAGCAGCTTGATAAGCAAGGCAACTCTCAGGAAGCGCTCAGCCTGACCCAGCTGCTCATGTGTTTACAGGAATAGCGAGGTCCAAGTGATTGCCGGCCCTCTTATTCTCTGGCCCCGTCCTGTCCTTCTTGGGCGGAAATGGCCACGTCAGCAGCACCATAGCCACCCCTTTTAGACCCTCACCTTGTGCCAAGTCTCTGGGTCACAGTGACCACATGCTGGAACGGTGAGTGAGGAAACCGCGTCCCTCACTTTTGAAGACTGCTTCTGCACGTTTAGCCAAAGCACTCGCTAGCCTTCGCCTTCCCTGGCGCCCAGCACACTTGCAGATGACCTTGGCGCTGTTCAACCCTAGTCTCCGAGTGTTTGTGTCTCCTCTGTGCACTCGTTGGAGCTGGTGTCCCTGATCCGTTGCAATCTTCGGGTTTGGGTTCTTTGAAATGCAGATTACAATTTGTTCATTTCACCTCACTCATTTTTGTTTCCCCTTTTAGCAGGCCTGTCATATGCTTTAGAATCTTAGCCTCCCTCTGCTCCCTCATCTCCTTGGACCACGACACAAATGACTGGTTATGGTGGCTCATCCTCAGTATGGATCATGCCTTCAAAAGCGCGCGCGCGCGCACACACACACACACACACACACACACACACACACACCCTTAACATCTGAGGACCCAGGTGTTAACACAAGCCCCAGTGCTGACTCCGCTTGGCTCTTCTATCCATCCAGTATTTCCTATGTGTGTTACAAGAACGTCGGCATTGATTTACTATTTTTTGAAATTCAAATATAATTAAAGGGACATTTAATCTGGTGAGTCTACCACCAATATCACATGCATGCCAAAACAGAACAAGAAAGATAATGTAACGTGATCATCAGTATCCACAAGGCCAACCGGTGATTTGGAAATCAGTGCAGGTGAGCTCCTCTGTCTGTGTGTCCTTGACCTCTGTCTGTCCTTGTCTGTAGACTGAGAACAATGGCAAGAACTCTGTGTTGTTCCCTTTGGTAGTGTAGTTAGTTAATGGGAATGCCAGGTCCACTGTAAACAAACCCAAATTGTTAAAGCTTACAAAACAATGAAATACAACGTTACACATACTGTAACAATGTTTCGGGAAGATTGACACATAAACTATTGTTGCAGCTAAGAGATCTTGAGATGCAGGATCTGGTAGGTGAGGTGAGATCTTGAGTCCAGCTTCCTGGCCTTAGGACCGTGCAACTCCGTACAGAACAATGTTCTGAGGGCCATCCATTCATACAACCAACTCTCCATGACAGGCAGAAAGCTTGTCGTCTTTCAACCAGTCTCCATCTCTCCGGGTCCCATAATCCCCCACAGGGCACCACCTTCCCTATTCTCATTGCTTCATCTATGTACTTCTTAGTATTTTGGATCTTAGGCAGCATCTACGGAGGGTGATTAGGGGGACATGGGACATCTTGTTGGCTGCAGGTGTCAACATAAGCTTCTCCCACCAACAGGGTAGCCCTGGGAAGTTGGTGGGAGTTGGTAGCGAACCTGCCAACATGGCGTTATGCTGTTTTCTTTTGTTTTCCTAAATGACATGAAATTCACATCTGGGGGAGGCGTTTGTGCTTTGGGGCAGCTACTGTTTTAAGAAGGGGTAATGTTTCAGAATTGTGTCTGTTTATAGTACATAGTTATTATTTAAAAAATCAACTTTTGAAAAGCACAAAAGAGGAAATAGCAAACTTTCTGTAACTCCATCATCCAAACTTCACCACTGCTAACATTTTGGTACCAATTTTGACACCAAAACTCTTTGGTGATTTTTGTGTAAAAATACTTTTGGTTCATTAATATACAAAAATAATATTATAACATACACTGAGGTCTTACCAACAAACAGGTAACAAATGTTTCCAGTGTTTCCACTGGCCCCCATAAAAGTTGAGAGTTACTTAAACAGAATTCCAATCTGTGACTTGTACCATGCCTTATTAATTGACATGGTGTTCTCTCCAACTTTTGGGTCCCTTTCATGACTGCGTGAACGTATTACCAAATTCCAACTGGCACATTGTCAGCAGAAAGTTCCGGAAGTCAATGCTGCCTTGACCTGAAGTTGAAAATTGATTTCTCTGAGGAAGCAGAAAATTCTGAGCATGCTTGCCTCTCTGTCTTAGGAAGCGCTGGACTGCAAGGCAGGGCCATGTTTTATTTTGCATCATTGGTCCTCAGCAGGGGGCCTGCCATGAGAGCTTGTAAGTTAAGAGCTGTTCACTGTTTTTATCAATGAGGAGGAGGCGAGTGGGTACCATGGAAGTTGTGTATCATAAAGTAAACAGAGGCACAATGAACTCGTAGAAAAATTGAGCGCGTAAAGGTCAGCATATCAGGGAGCTGTAGCCCGGGAATTGCTCTGGAACCAAGTGAGGCTGTCACAGGACCAGTACAGTGTGGCAAACGACGGAAGTCTGATTGGTGGGACGGTGAGGCTGCAGAGATAGTGTCTCGGCTGGAAAGCACTTGTCACGTAACATGGCTGCTGGAGCTTAGGTTCTGTTTCTCTTTAACACAGGCATTTACAAGCCGCAGCCAAGTGTTCCTGATGTTTGCAAACCAAGTGTGCTGGGTCACTTCAGAGGCCTGCCTGGCTCCTTCTGCTCAGTGTTCTTCAGGCTTAAGACTCCATTTTTATCCAACTTGAGCAGCTATCAAGTTGCTTTCATTGCTGGCATTTTCTAAATTGGTGGTTTTCTTCTAGATGTCTAACTATAATTTCATTTCTTGGCTGCTTTTCAAAGGAAGATGATGTCTTTCATTTTGTTGTGTTAACAGTTCCAATGAGATCCATGTAGACACTGTGCAGTTTACGGCGGCCAGTTATGTAGCTCTTACTGTGTTCATAGCCATCTCTACAGCCCTTTTTTAATGCCCATCACCTTTACCACAGTTGGCAACCACGGTGGGTCTGCTCCTCTTGCCTTTTTCTGGGGAACCTGAAGGAGCCTGCTGTTCCCTAATGCTGTCTTTGCCACCTGATCTTGGACATTTGTCCACTTTGGGTACTTGTGTTCTTTCATGAGTCAGCCTTTCTTAGCAGTCCCCATAGCTTCTTTTCTTCTAGAAGATGCAACTCTGCTTCTAAAGCCTGACCCCAACCCCGGTTCCCCAGTGCAGAGCAGAAACCCGTGGGCCTCGGCATTCCCACAGCCAGCCTCTTCCTGAGCTTTCCAGGGCTGTGTGGAATCATTTGTTGTTCTAGTCTCTGCTCTCTCTATCACCTGCGTGCAGCGTTCCATGTCTTCACTCCATTACACAATTGTTCCAAATGCTCCCAGATCTGTTCCTCTGCCATCAGAGCTCTTGTCTGCCTGTCACACCTCTTTCTTGTTTTCGCTACCACCCAGCTTTTGATGGATCAAACATTCTTCATCCTAGGGAATTTGTGCTCTCTTTGAGCTTTCTCAAGTTCCCACCTTTGTTCATTACTTTGAATCCTATATCCTAGATTCCCCACCTCCACATTTATCATCATTCTGTGTCCTTGCCTTGTCTGGGCTCCAAAGGGAGGCAACCAAAGGTAGACCTCATCACTTCAGCGCTTCTCCCGATCTGGATCTGGGCTTTGCAAGGCAGAGCTCACCGTCCTCCGTGTGTGCCTGCACAGAGAAGCACTAGGCAGTCTCTCTTGTGAAAGTGACGTGCTCCCGAGGTCTATGTAAACCGAAATGTTGTCAGCGGTTGCATGGGAGTCCTCCATGGAACACTCCCCACAGAGAGGCCCTCTCTACAGCTTCTTTCCTGGGATAAGCAGCTACTCTCTCACTCCTTCTTTGAGTAACCTTCGTTGTCTGTGACAGGGTCCCTGTCC